GCTCATTTTGTTGCTAATTTTTCAAACTATTCACCATAAAATTTTTAACGAAAACTGTCGAAAAAAAATTCTACGCGACAACAACCTTAAGGGCCGGATGGACTATCTCGGAAAGATAATTTACTCCAAAATTGGGATTCCTAATTACTCCGCCAATTAATTGTTTTTCCCGATAATTGTTAGCTAGCGCTCTAGTCATTGACAACCGCTAGAACGCTAGCTAACAATTATTGAAAAAAAACGATTAATTGCCAGAGTAATTAGGAATCCCAATTTTGGAGTAAATTATCTTTTCCAGATAATTCAACCAGTCCTTAAATAAGCCTAAAAGAATGCGTGATTTATATTATTGCTACCATCGTTCATTGTTTTACGGCGTTTTCAACTAAATATGATTTTCACATTTTACCTAATTTTCCAAACTAAATGAATAGAAATATTTATATACCGTTTTGAAGAACACTTCATGCTCTTTGAAATGATAGTTTTACATGATTTCGTTGCGTTTTTTGACAGTTATTGGTGTTTTTCCATTTTTTATCATTCTGATAATCTCTAAAATGTATGTATATTACTAATTGTAGTAGCATTCGATGTAATTTATGGGAATATATACAATATATGTATTATATATACAATATTATAATATAATAATATATAATATCATATAGTATATATTATATACAATAATATATATAATATCGACAATTTTCAATGTCTAAACGAACTCTTTCCAATGCTGTTTGCATTCATCAATTCCGTTTAAGGTGTTCTTACCTTTTGGCCAAAATCCAGTTTTTTTAAATCGATTTTTTTTAGACTGCATTGCTGCGCAAAACTATAACTGTTCGGTATTTTATCTTTATTTAACGATTCTTGAAATAGCATGATCGTGCAATAATTTCCCTGTATCGTTTTGTTGTCCTTCCGGAAAATCAAAAAACTGTAGAAAAAACACGTGCAAATTATCGCAGTCGTAAAACTTTTTAAGTCAACAAAAAAGGTACATTTTATCGCCTGAGTTTATGAAAAAATGGACTGAAAAATCACAAAACATCAATATTAGACTAGAAAGCGAATAAAAATATTGAGAACGTTCCTCTTGAGATAGCAAAATGGAATAATATTGAAGAAAGTTCTCAGAGAGAACGATTCTCAGATTCATTGCGTACAGAAGAGAATTTGCGAATTATGTTTTTGGCAACATATTTTTCATATGATTAATTTTTTTTTACCGATGAGTGTAGTGTAAAAAAATGGACATAAGGAGATCTTTATTGAATTATTAACGAGTGTATTAAGTTTTCTATTTTTCGTTTCAACTTTTCGGTTCATTCCACGGAATTTTTTTATTCTTTGGAAAATTTTGACTTGATGAAAACATTTGGCAATTTTTTAGAGATCAGCAATAGCATCGATAACAACGAGGAAATAAAAATTATAGAAAAAACGTCTAATGCTGAATCTTTTTAATAGCATTAAATTAATCGGATTTAATTACATGCAAAATAATTCCCAGTAAAGTGAAGAAAAAAGTAACGAATCATGAGACTGAGAATAATAAAATTTGAAAAAATAAAAACATTCATTAAACAGCGCGAATTAATTTGAAGAGAGAGGGGTCAACGAATTAATTAATTCCTGTCGGTTTATTAAAGAAGAAAACATGATCAGATAATTTTTCCAGATTAGCTGATTTATTTACGAATATGGATGTGGAAATTTTGAAAGACAAAAAAGATAAGGTGCAGAGCAGACTCTTTTGTAAATTAATCATGTCCCTGGCGGACCCAATCCCGGACACCAGGAGGGGTCATTACAGTTCTTTGTCAACTCTTTTCAAGTGTGGAAAATGTGGGAAAAATGTCATTCGCTCGATTTCGGACTGCGTCCCCTGTCTCCCCAGCTCCATGAAGATCGACAGCAAGGGAGACCTTCACAGCAAGCACACGAGGTAGTAAAAGCTTTCCACGCACAACGAAAATCCTCACAATGAGAAGATCCTCTCAATTGTCTTTAATTGTTCTAGGGATTTCAACTGGACATTGAACGACTACATCGTGGGTCTTCGGTCAGAGCTCAGGACCTGGAGGAAAGTCTACTGGAGACTGTGGGGTGACTGCCATTTTTTAAATTGTCGACAGTGCAACACATTTTTTCCGATTAATCAGATGGACTGGTGCAGCTATCATCCGGATAATCCCCAGTTCTTCGCCAACGAGCAGCAGAGGGCTGCCTCCTTTCCTCTGGGGAGGTATCCCTGCTGCAGTCAAAGGGCTTATCGATTCGAAGCCCTACCTAACTGGGATGGCTGTCGATTCAAGGTGAAATTACTCACTAACCCATGTCATTCACTGTTGATTACATTTTCATTCTCTTATTCTCTCTTAAAATTATAGAATTTATGAAATTAATTTTATCATTATACTATAGACTATTCAATTTGATTGAGTAAACCCGTAAAGAATAAAAATTTCAACTCATATTTTGTTTATTTCCCTGGAATTTTATTTTATGAGTGTATTCTAGGATTAAATTATGTGAAATGAAGAATTATTTCCAGTTAATTAACATGGAAAAATCTTGGGATTTCGTTTAGGAACACATACCTTCAATTTCAGTGGACAACGATGGCCACGTGTTGAATATCTTCACAATGTACAGGGATGCGATATCCCAGGATCCACCCCAGAGGTTCTTCCCTGAGAAGATTACGAGGCTGGTTGCCAGGGATCCATCGATTCCCTCTGGCAAATTGCTGTGCAAGGAGCCCATGTGGTGGGATGGCATTGAATTGGCGCCATCCAGACCCAAGTTGGGACTTCTGGGGAAGGTCTGGGGGGGCCCTGGAGTTAGGAAGCCTTGTCAGGTGGAGGGTAGGCACAGAAAATCCAAGCAGTCGTCTCAGGTCGAAATCTCGTCGCCCCCTTCATCTGGGAGTGAGAGCGATGAGGATGAGACTGGCACTGCATGTGGGGATAGCAGCCTTGAAGATGTCTCGGGAAATAGTGATGAGTCTAGTGCATGCCCCATTTACAAGTCTGCCAGGAGAATCAAACGGAAATATCATTCTGTCAAGAGGTACGATTTAGATGATTGTTGTTCGATATTCTTTCTGGAGATATTTGAAACTTATCCGGGATAAAACCGAGAGTTTAAAAACTTATTCGAGAGTTCAAAAAATAACTCGATAAAAAATGCATAATAATATATTTAATATCAATATATTCCTGATGTTTTTTCATGTTGTAATGAAAGTACGTGACTAATGAATTAAGTTCAGTTAATAAAATTTATTTTTTATATGGAAAATTAAATTACAATGTTTCCAATATATATATATATTTTTTTCTTCAATTTTTTTATTTTCTAAATTTTTAATTACAAATTAAAGAAAATGTTTTTATATATATTATGAATACTAAAAAAATCTCCTAGAATTCCGTGAACAAATGCACATTGTTAGTGTTTCCTTTAATTATGCAATTTGATATC